CTCTCAAATGTAAATATTGTGCAAGAAATTTGTGTCTTTGCTGTGATCAGATGGAGTCATTATTTGGAAAATATTTCAGCTCCCTAACGACGTTACAATTTTCGAGGAAGCAAGGGAAGACGTGAACGCTTTTTAAAATAGTAAAAGTGCTTTCCGCGAGTCGCTTTGTACATTTTTGACTTGGTAGTGTCCAGAAGAGTGAGTTTTTGAAAACAAAAAAGAAATTCGGGAAATCCAAAGGAAAGTTTTGTCGCTTAACGAAACTGGTAACACATTTTGCACGGATGTGGACTGTTATATCTTCATTTGGTTTTCGCTACCTAAATGCGACTTCACGAAGTTAGTGGATTTTGTAGCCCTGATGAGCAAACTTTTGTAACACAATTCTTGGTTCCTATCTTCAATTTGCATCTCCAAAATACCCACCTTAACGGCTTTTTATTGATTTACGAGCATCCTATTCCAAGTCGTTCAGTCAAAGGAAACTTAACTGAAAACGCAATTATAATATGAATATGGCATAGTGCATGTCGTAGTGAAAACAGTCGAATATTGTTTGGGTATGGGTCAAACGCTCTATTGTGGGCCCCAGCATGTGGTCGTGAAACACACCGGGGCCGCTGAATTAACCCTGACCCGATTATGCTTCCCTGATACCCGTGATGAAGAAAAAGATCGGGGAGGACGTGGACACAACCGTTTACTTCAGAGCTCAGCCACGTTGGTGTCGTTGTGGTGTTTGCGCGTGTGTGTATTTATACCTCGGATGTGTGAGTCATGCATGAGCTAACATCGAGACCTTAGTGTGAGGATAATCTAAGATAAATATTCGTGCGAATGAAAGGGGAGTTGAGGTTGGTGACATGCTGCGAAAAAGGGAACCCTGTATCGGAGGATGGAGCGACGGGATTAAGGAGTGTGTATAAACACAATTCACAACAGTTCTCCACTCGATTATCAATCTTCCAGCTTGGGGTAAATGTAGCTGTTCTAGTGTTTTGCAAGGCTGTCACATTTAACGAAGGTGACAGCCACTCAGTTAAAAGCAGATAGTGTTAATGCTCTTCATTACTAACAAAACGAAGATTGGGTTTTTAAGAAAAGCACTGATTTCTGATGAAATATTTTAAAAGATTTGAAGGCTCTCTCATAACCAAAAGCGAGATCGTAGAAGTTCCTCGTGCATATTTAGAGACTAAGCGGGATTGTTTTTGGGTCTGCGAAACCCCAAGTTGGTTTCTTTTCTAGAGAAGGGAATGATCGATAAAGTAAGTTAGAAGTACAAGTAATCAATGAATTATTAACTAACGCAAACAATGGAGATTTTAACGCTGATTTCGCAGGTTTTATCGGCTCCCACCACAACACGGGGATTCATATTGTTTTTTTCAAAGAAATGTTTGAACCGAATGCCAACGGTGGTCTGAAAGTACACAACGGGAAGTTTTTTCTTACATCTTTCCGAGCGCATTCCGCACTGTCGGCGATCAACGAAGCACACGGCCATATCTTATGCGGTTATCAATAACATCCCACTCGTCCAGCAGTGTGCACACATTGCTTGCCGGACGGACGGGTGAGCCAATGGTGTGCGACGGACACCACGCCTGATTTCACCGGTCGAAGTACCACCCTCCGCCGATTGGTCAGCGTGTTTGTTGGCAGCTTAAAGAAGACACAAAGACAATTGGCCGCGCGTTGTAGTTTCGGAGATCCCGATCTGTGTGGCTATTTTTTCGGCACTAGCGCCTTTCTCAATAGTTGTGAAATAGTAAGTTTTGCATGGTACTGACTCCCCATATCATGGGTTGTTTAAACCTTCTTTGTACTGTATCTGACGGTTACATTTACTTAAATTACCGAATCGCAAAATGCTTTATTTTGTGCAAAAGTGTTAATGTTAGGGGAGGTTTAAACGCTGTATTGACACCAGACACGCATTTGATATCCCAACACGACACCAGAATTGTACTTTATCCAGCTAGGTACTGTATGATGTCTGAAGTGTCTATCCCAAACCAAGATTGCTTAAGTACGCTGCATTTATCAAGGATTTGTATATCATTTTTCACCTGTATGAACTGTAATTTAAGTTAATTGGTAAAACCCCGTCACCAAACTTGCTGCAAAATGAGTTCTGGTTCCTATTTTTGTTGTTTGCATCTTATAAATTTATAGAACGGCGAAAGTACCTAGCACAGAGGTGTTTGTGTGCAACCAGCGAAAGTGCAAAATGTTTGGACAAATTTAGCCTTCCGTGAAAAAAAAGTGACAAATTGGACGTGGTCAGGAAAGTGCGAATCCTCACAAGCGCAAGGTTAATTAGTGCTTTTAGCTGTATAGGCTCTTGCCACGTTGATGGCTTTAAAAACACTCTCTACGTCCTCAGGATTTTATTTACTCCACCTTCAACAGGTTTCCACACGTATCTACTCAAGTATTTCCACGATCTGCAAAGCGTTCTTATGAATAACACGTAGAAAAAGTTATTTTCTCTACCATACTTCCCAATTTTTCATTTATACACCTTGCTAATAGTAGGCGTGCAAATTACTGACCCTGGATTCGCTTAGAGTTCACTTTTAGGGTGTAACAGAATCGTCTCAAAGTAGCCGATCGCCTGTCAACATTTCTTCACTGCACACAGCCACGAGTTCTTTCTGGCGATGATAAGAGGAGTATTTCAAAATAACAGCATTCCAACTTTCTTAATGGTGTGCTGTCTAAAACTTAATGTTTTCTTAATCCGGCTAAGCCTATTCAGTTAGGACGAAACATGGCATGGTGCAAGGGTGTTGCACCACGGCCGTAATCTGAGTTTGAAAGCTTAGACATGCGACTAAAACAGAAGGCGCCATATTTAGACGCTAACATGTTGAGTTTAACTCAAACAAAAAGATCATTTGGGTGTCATAATTTATTAATTGGTTCTCAAGGGTCTATTTTACCTATCAGTTATTGAATTTTCTACCTTCTGCTTATAAGTACGCAGTATTGTTTACACCTCAGCATTATTTTTTCAAAAAAATTGCAACTTCACGTTGGTTTATGATGAAAAATTTGCGGAACCTAAGTGAGGCGCTTTATTGCTTTGTAACTGTTTTATAATGGGTCAAAACAGTTTTTGAACATTTGTAAACGTTCCAGATGTGTCAGTCACGAATTACAACATAAATTTAATAAACTGTTTGATATCACTTTAGCTAAAAACTAATTAGCTCCAATAGTAAAACAAGTATAATAATGGTTTTCGTTATTTCAAATTTAGCATTTTTTTTCATTTCCGTCACCCTAATTGTGTTGACTTTCAAAGGAGAGTGGAGCAAAATATGGCGAAGGTGTTTAGTAAGATGTACCAGATGATATTGTAGGTAATTAGCTTCAAAAGAACAAATTACTTGCACAGAAATCACGCCAAGCTGTCCAATGTGAACCAGCCTCTGTACGTACAAACTAACAGGTTATATTAATAAATGACTGACGTTAAATTTTGTGACTGTCACCCTGAATCTCTACTTAGAAATCCGTCAGTAGACGTTCTAATTAAACACTTAAAATTAAAGAATCTAACTCAATAACAACATTGAGGTTACTGCCTGATGTAGCGTCATGAAAACAGGACCAAGTGCACTTGCACTTGATCCGACAAAATTTAAAAGTACGCCACGTGCTCAAATGTCAGCTTGTTTTTTGGTCATGTGAAGGTCACCCTCTGATCAATGATGGTGATGAATGTCGAATTACTACTTTCATTATTTAAGTATGAGTTAATCTAGTGTAGCACGAAATAATTGATAGTCTCTTTTTTTCCTCTTCTGGAGCTCATTTACCAATCATGCACCTTGGTGAAACTCTCGGTGTATTGATCTCACGAAAAACTAAATTCCATTCCAGCATATATGAGCGACAATTTTTCCGAAATTCTCCCACAAAAATTCTGATTAATTTTCATCAACCTCTCCTACTTTGAATTATCATTAACGTTTATATTAGTTTAATTCGTAAAATAATTAAATTTACAGAACATCGTGCTGGCCTTAATGGACTTAAAGTGCAACTATCATGGTCATTATGGACACCAAATGCTTTCTCCCCTTTGATTATCGCTCGGAATAAATCACATGACTTTCGGTTTAAAATAAAATTGAAGAAAACCAATGTTTCGCACCACAGTCACCCACAAAGCCACACATTTTGACCCACCTTTTTGCACAAACGCACCGCCTTGCTACAGAAACTATTTTTTCAGTTTAGTGTTGCGGCACAATCGTCACATTCCTTAGTTTAAGTGGGTTCATTTACAAGTTGGTTTCGTGGTCATGTTGCAACAACAAATTATGTTATTATGTAATAGTTTCGTCTTATGGCATTACTGCGAGTATTTGCAAAATGGCATAAGCAAATGCTTGACGCGGTTTCAAGGATGTAGACGAGTTTTCGGACGTGGTATCCAGCACACTTTTCTGTCTAAGAACGCACCGGAACTATTCACTGTCCTTGCTTGTAAATAACCGCAGCAAGGAATCGAAAAATTAAACATTTAGCTAAATTTTTTTTATGCAGTAAACATTATGATAGTAATCGGAATAAACGGTAAATGTTACGAACCAAATGTCTAAAGTAATAAGGGACATTTGCTGCTAAAGAGCACTTTGAAAAGTGTTCCAACGCGCCCAAGAAAGGTCCCTGTAGCGTGCCCAGGAAAATGTCAATTTTTCAACAACGCTAAGAACCAACGCCATGGGCACCCACGCCCTGACCAACCAGCTTTGGCTGTGTTCGCGATCGTAATTGGCTAACTGATCCTAAGGCTCGGCAGGAGTGCGTAGACGTGGGTGTAGAGGGAGGCAGCGTGTAATAGGCAGGCCATTTTCAGCAGTCAGCTGTCACTTGCTGCAGCCCCAGCGGTGACGTTCACGAACTCCAAGCTTCTGAGGGTCTTTCTAGAAAGCGATTAAACATTTCGACCATTTTTTTTCAAAAAACAATTGTGCACACTTATGATTGCCACTGTTGACATTGTTGTTCAGGCACCCGACATGTTCAGCGCCTCAAGACAAGCCCAGCGTTTGGCGGGAAACTTCTTGGATGATGTGGACGACTTCCAGAGGGCCTCAAGAGCTGCAGATCGCCGTGCGATGAGCCACTTTGAAGAGGCTGTACGTTAACTTTTTGCTGGCTTCTTTTCATGCATTGATGCACTTTCGCTATATGATTATCTCTGCGTCTGCCACTTGCCATAATTCTTTATTATCAATTTCTGGACCATAATCGAATTCCCTCTGTGCTAATTAGTTCCCTGGTTTAATTTGTAAAGAAAACTCATTCACACCTTCTTAGTTTAGCTGTCCCGAAATCAAAATCGAAATCTTACTTTGGCCAATTAAAATTGGTTTCTTACCCCACATCATCATTACCAGTGGTTAAAAGTCTATCAATTGGTTTCGATTCACCGCAAGTTAATTAGAGCCTGTTACATGCTATTGACATACCTAAGTTCATTGTTTAATTTGGCTTCAAGTAATTACGGCTGATAAAAAGTCGAAAAGCGCAAAGCCAATCACCTTGTCAAGGAGCCTTTTGAATGAAATCGCTCTATTATTGGCTAAGGCCTCTCAAGTTCAGGATAGTGATCGGCACCTTAGATAATCACGAAAACTCATAAACTAGGCGAAGACGTTTTCCTGGGATCTAACTGGCCGTGAACAGTGCCTCTAAAGGACACAGTTTCCCAAAATCAGTTTGTGATTCGCTGCAATTTCTAATTCTATAATGCGGCATGCAGTCCAGCTCAACTTACTACTCGCGGCCACGACACAGCATTTCAATATCACGATTTTCGACAAGTCCCTCGGATATTTACATTGACGGAGCACGTCTGAGGTTGACAAGTGCTGAGCCTCGCTACACTACCTACCAGTCCAGTCTGCATCCAGTAACCATCATCGGATCGCGTTACCATCGCTACACACCGTCTTACTATCGTTACTATCCGCGGTACTACACCTACGGAAGCTCCTATCCGTATACTAGCTATTACGACTACCCGACTTACAGCACTTACAGCTACAGATACTGGCCCTACACATCCGGAGCGCACTACAGTCACTACATGCCCTCAACAACCTACTACACCACCAACAGTAGAACGCTCCACGACTACTCACTGCCAACATCTGGGCTAAAGGCTTCAGTTCCCTCCTGGGTACCTGTGCTCTTCTATTCCTTTTCCTCATTTTCGTCCTCATTTTGGACCAAGTAGTTAGTCCCATGCGTTGTCTGTGTGTGTGTGAATGCTCGTATGTTTGTGGTCTGGTCTGTGTTAGGTGGAACACAAGGTACACATATTAGTCATGAATTGGTTTGATGACGCCACCTCGATTAGAATTATCGATCAACCGGTAGAATTGGGGCTCCAAGATTTAACTCACGCACAACTCTCTAGACGAATGATTGTCCACAAGGTTACCCACTAAGTTGGCAGTCAAAACACCCCCACATAGTCATGAGGCCTTTCAGTGTGTTTAGGCTTGGAGGTGAAGTAACCATGCTGCATCTTTTAGACGTGCTTTCGGAAACCAATGAGGGAGTCAATTTTCCTTTAACAGTGGAAGACTAGTCACAGGGGGTCTTAGCAGGTGTAGGCGTCATTGTGCCTTGCACCTTAGACATTGCTGTCCAGTAGGTTGGGAATAAAACTGCGTTTTGTTTACCTAGGCGTGTATTCCATTGTTTAAAAGGTGTTTCTTTCTAACCCTCAATTGTAGGACATTGGCTATAGGCCCCTGTCGCTGAGCCGTTGGTACTCACATAGCGATTTAGTAAGTAAACCGTTTGGTTTTGCGATTTGAACTGCAACATTCTATGAGCATGTCTAGCAGCAGCTTGGAATATTAGTGTAGTTGCGTTTGCAGTTGCATCTTCAGAGTCTGAATGTGCTCGACACCCCCTTTTCCCCTTTCCATCCTTTTATTGTGTTTACCATCATCATCATTTATATTCTTGAACGTTTAAATTGGTACTACTGTTATTGATTTTTTTGTAAATCAATTTATTGATGCCTGCTGTAATGCGCCTCGTCGCCCCAACTATGTACACTTGTGTTTTCATGTACACTTGAATTGTAAAGAGAACATTTTCGTTAATAAATTCACTGCTCGACTTGGTCTTTAATCGTACAAACTCGGCTGAAAAGTTCTCCAGAAGGAGCCCACGTATTAACGACACTCCAGCAGCTGTCTTAACATGTCGGGATTGGGATGGACAGTTTGACATCAACCTGAAGTCGATTTTTGGCCAAACATTTCTGCAGGTTGAGCCTCTCGTGGTGTTTCCAGCGGCACCACCGCCGTCTTACTCGCGGCCCCGAGCGCGGTGGGCACGACACCGATCGGTTCCACCTGTCTCGCTCGCCGCCGCCGCCCAGTACCGCCGCGCCGGCAGTGTCGCCCGCATGCTACCGCCGCCTCCACCACCAATCAAATACGTCAGCACAGAGTACTACTCAGATCTTACCGGACCCGAGCCGATCAACACGAAATACGTGAGTTTTGGAGTTCGCTTTTTACCTACCACCGACAGTCCGCATTCTTCCGCTAGCACGGAAGACTAGGAAGCAGGATATTTCAAGGTGGATGTCTTAAGACCGGAGATGCCTTTAAATAAACAAAATGAAGCTGCTTGAATTTAGACTTTGCTGAAACGAGGTATGTTGCTATTACGATGTCAAAGTATGGTTTCAATCAACAGAACCAAGCCATTGAAAGGTGAAGTCCACAAAGAGCAAACCCTAACGTTTCAAAATATCTGATTTATTCTTCTTCAGATTTTTTCCTCTTAAGTTTTGGTTGTTCCTTCAAGTCGATTTGTACATAATTGGTTGCATGTTACCTTGGAACGAAGGAAATGTTCTGCCACACAGATAATTCACAAAAGGTTGTTACCTCTCATCAGCTGCCATCGACAGTACTGCGCCCAAGCAATAATGAAAACACAAGGCAATTAAGGAGCTGTGGGATGGCAAATCCTAGACCAGTTCTTGATTCTCGCGACGCTTTTATTCTTAATTTCTGATCAACTCTTGCCACAAGCACCCTTCCGCTTCTAACCTACCCGGTTCTGGCTAATACTTAGTTGGCAGTTTAGCATGTTTTGTTGACAAATCGTGCGACCGAAAGCCTCAAGCGTTCATGCAGGATAACAGATGGCGCCAAGTTCAACTTGCCCGTGTTCGCGCATGTGTGTGTAACCCAGTTTTGCGTAGCGTTCTCCCCCAACTCCCTACGAAATAGACTCTGCATCCGCGTGATTTCCGGGACACAGTTTCCCTGCATGGTACCTCTGAGCATTATTTGACACTGTCTGTTTAAAGCATGACGAATCGGTCCCACCAACCTGATGGCAGTAGACTGTGCAAATTTAAACGCCAAGAAACCTCCGTGGCTGAAGAGAAGTCTAGGTAAAGAATCTTTGTCGCTTAATCCACCTCCGGATGTACTTCGAATCCAGACTTGGGAAGCGGCTGTAGCTGCTTCACTTCACTTGTGTGGCCAGTAGTTTTGTATTTTGCTAAAGCGACCCATGCCATCCGGCTATAGTGAACAATAAGTAAGTACTTCCATCACGGCATGTCTGAAAAAAGCTTACGCAACACACACCGGCACCGAGTCAACGGCTCTACATGCTGTATTACAATGTATTTCTCTGGATTAATTTAAAGCACAATAATGCACCATCGTAAGACCCTTTAGAAACTTGAAACTTGATTTTGCATCTTCTAATCATTTTAGGTCTACCACTACACCTCACCACCGCTATCCAGGTCCCTCTACAGGCCCTATTATTACCGACATCTGAACGGACCACGTAGTAATTTTGAGAACGCCGTTAGTCAGGAGGTAATGGCCGAACGAAGACGCATCGACGTAGGTTTGATTCCCTTGTTTGTACCCACAATTTAATTACTTGGATATGCAGTTTGTGTGTACGAACTACTCCTAGCAAGCAACTGACATCTCAGTGGTTGGGTAAATTTTAAAAAAGGAGATTGATTCGACGCCTTCCACTCCTTAATCCGAAATCGCAAATCAGTATTGCTGATTGAAGGGTTTTAGGCTTGTATTCTATCGCGGGTACAAGCGTCTTTGACGCCTAACTCTGCATTACTGTCCAGTGATGCTTTGTAATATCACTCGTGATCATAATAGTGTCAAACTTGACTTGTGTTTCAACAACAACGTATGAAGTCTTGTGCTTTCGTGACGTTAATAATAAATTAACAAATGAACAGTATTCACACATATGCCACATTACTCCTAAGTATCTGAGACTTAAAGTTTAAGGTTGAGAAAAATGAATCAGTTAGTTAAACAAGTTGTCTACAAAACCTCCATCTTCTTTATGTGCTGGCTTGACTTGCATTTAGTCGGTTGTGGTTTTTTGAATATTTTTCGACTCAATCAAGCTATTTTAAGAGAAATCTCAACCTGCTTTGTGTTGGTTTTAGCGAAAGATGGATGATCTGTTGAGCTACAAGCTTCCAGACCCGTCTATCTACAACGATCTTAAAGCAAGTCTTCGCAAAGTGCATGACAAGATGGACGTGCATCGAACTCTACTCGACCGCTACTCGGCCATCGACATGCAAAACAGTTCCTCCACCGTGGAAGATCGCATCGCCTCCAAGTGCCGGGAACTGGGCGAACGCATGGGCAGATGATGGACACAGTGACTGGGCCACGTCTCTCTGTGCCAGAAATTTAAACGTCTGCCCACATAGTGACCTGTCTGCATAGTCTATCCCCAAATTACCCGCCCCCTTAATTCAGCCTAGGTTTTCGGTATGCTGCATGCTTCTGAACGCCTCAATGATCCGATCACCTCTAGTGCCTTTTTTTCCATCATCAATATCGAACTCGCAGCCAAACCTTCCACCCAACGCCTTCTACTTCCTGCTTGACCGCTTTTCCTGTCTACTACCCGCTTTCTAGAGTGCAACTTCAATTAAAGGAATGTGATGGTGCAATTACCGCATCTGATTTGTGATTGTCTAGTTTGTTTCATTACGAATGCTGAGCCGTCTGCTCACATTTCCTGTGGGCAATCTATGGCCCTTTGTGAGTTAAATTAGTGCATTTGAAATGCAATCTTCATGATTTTGCCGTTATGCACTTGCTACACGGGATCTTGTCTAACCTCGAGTTTTGTGTGTTTGCGATTTCAGCTTGATTCAAGCCCTCTGGTAAGTGCTGTCTGTCGTTTTCGTAAGAAAAAATTGGTCATTTTTGGTTTCTGCCAGCTGTTTTAACGCGAGAATTGCATTCAAGAAGAGCGTGGAGCTTTTGGTTATAAGGACACATCAAGAAGATGTCAAACCATGCCAGATGATCTTGTTCAAACCAAATTCCGTATCATCCCTGAAAACCGACACTAATTCCATGCGTTAGAGAATTTTAAAAGTTCGGAAGCAAAGTTTGCTGTAATTGGCTTTAATTATGCGGCAACTCTGATTCGGACATGAGCCTCTGGGGCATAGGAATAAATAACGTAACTCGATTGCTCAATTTTTTCTTCTCTGACGCCGCAATTTGAAAATGCTCACAAACACATTCCGCAAAATAGGAAGTGACCAATCACGACGAGGAGACTTGCCAAAATTCTACAAATACCGTTACCTACGTTCCGATTGAAGACATTCCGCGCGCGCGTGGTCCTGGCTTTTACACTTCACCGTTAGAAACCGAGATTTACTACCGTCATCCTCAGACGACCTCGGTGACTGCCAATAGGAATCGAGCATGCTCGCTGAGAAGGCTGCATGCTTAGTATTTAGCAGACACACGAAGTTAGCTAGAGGTGCATGTTAGCTACTGGAGGTATTTAAAGTTCACAGGTGATACACTGATGCAAGCACGAGCTAGGAGCAAGCATCTGCTATGAAATAAATGTATTGCATTGCAGGGCTACCGATACTACCCCTGGTAGACCGAGGCCACACACGTGAGTAACAATCTTTCCAATCTAGCAAGCCATTACGAGCGCTGTGACTGGTATCCAGTTAGAGCTGCTGCAGACGGTTGCGGTTTATCTGTTACCTGCTTTGCCCCTCGTTAATTACAGCGTAATTAGTTCTGCCTTACGTTTATAACTTTGTCTTGTCACTGCTGTTGGTTTATGCAAACTAGCATGACATTTGCGAAACAGACCATAAGCGGGGGCTCAAACTTCATCGGCAAGGCAACGAAATCAACATTCAGGGGGATAGACTGCTATGGTACCATCCGAAACCCCCTGACTGATTCCAGATCACTTTCCCAAATGAAGTTCCGTACATTTACTGCTTATGTCTGTTCAGTGTGATGTAATTTGAAGAAGATTCTACGAGGGAAAAACATTTTTCTCAGGATAAATTCTCTCTGAGCCGACATTAAGGGTTGGTTTGTCTGTCTACTAGAGATTCTATCTCAAAGTTGAAATGAGTTAATTTCTACATGTTTGCTTGCATGCCAGTTGATGCATGGAAGCCTGACAGTGTCAGGTTACTTGCAACCAGAACTAACTGGTGTTAGCGGCATCTTGCATCTCCTGCTTTGCTTTGAATTAAGTGTGCCGAAACTTGACAGCGTTCGTTTTCATTCCTTTAAAAAAAGGGCTATGGTCCCGGCCTGGCCAAACCAACTGGTAGTTCAACAGCTGAGCTTCGTGGCCGAATTCGTCGTCTTATCTGCCGTTCTCGCAAAGACCCTCATCATTTTCGTTACTTGCCTGCTTCCTCCTCATGAAAAGAACACCAATATTCACTCCTCCCGATTCCTTCCCTCCCTCTCTTAAACACACACCCTCTCGTTTGCATTGACACAAAAAAGAGATATTATCTATCGTTCCCTTCAATGAACTTAGGGTTTTACTTGTGTATCACACCTAGTTAACTATTATTTATTTCAGTTCTTGATGTTGGTGGTGGAAACGGCGTCCTTCTTAGCACTAAAACAAGTTAATCAACCCTACCGTCTGTTTGAATTCTGAGAAAAGAGAGATTTATGTGGTTTCTTTAGCTTTCAATTATTAAATGTTATTCTATTTTCTCTAGTCTGACTTTTGACTTTAAAGTAAGTACGGTGGCTTATTGAAGATGAGGCATATTACTGAAGAGAATTCTGCATCCTTCTTAAAGATAAGCCCACAAATCATGTTTCCTCCTCTTCGCTCTCCATCTCACACAGACACATTCACAGAAATGTTGGACAAACAACAGCAACTTGTTAGTTCAAGTAGACCTTCTAATGACCAATGCAGCCAACACTGTTAGATAACCTGTTTTTTAGACTGGCGAATGTCAAGATCCTCTTTTGCTAACTGCGCTTTGACTGTCACGCGCGACGCTATTAGGAAAGTACTTGATTACTGCATAACAATTTATAAATGGAGTCTTGTCTATGAATTTTGTAGTCTGTTAGTGGTAGGCTGCCAAATGAACGGTCGTCTCTAATGCTTCAGATTGTACTTTTACCGCGTTGTTTCTACATTCCACTGGCGTCAACAGACAATTCAATTTCTAAATAAACTTCTATGGACCGAATGTAATGCCGTCTAAGAAAGGATCGAAATTGCAAAATTCGCTTTGACCGATTGTTTCAATCGATTTCCGGTATCACTAAGCAACCAGTTATAGTTCACGACTAGTAAACATTCAGTGCTACATGGATTTTTTGGCTTTAGTTAATTGGAAATAGGAGGTTGCCCACTGGTGAGCATTCAGGCTGCAGTGCCAAGATACTGCAAGAAGTTTCCAAGGAATAAACGAGACGGTGGGGGGAAGAGAGACTAGCAGGGTGTGGCAAGGTAACTGTGCAAACAGGAGCAACCGGTTTTTAATTCACCGTACGTGAAGCATGAACGGAAATCAAGTAATTTGAGTCGGGAGGAATATTTGCAAGCAAGCTGAAAGGAGAAAGTAGTCGGCAAGCATGTTTGTTATTGCATCCAAAAGATAATGTTTTCCAGGATTTAATCACTTTCTACTTTTAATTATCATTCGTGTTTATGTACACTATAATTTTGTATTTGCATCAACTGTCCCCCTCCTATTGGCCCATTCACCTATGAGTGTACTACTTCGGTTTTCCGCACTCAAGGCCGCCCAAGCCATCTAGAGGCGGGAACCTGTGAACGTGTATTCGGCCTTTGGTAGAGACGGTAGAAGGTCTCTGTACGCGGTCTCGTCTTGTTTTAGCGTGGGTAGGCGCTGAATGCTGCGTGTTTTGTCTGCGTGCTGGTGTGGGAAGCTTAACACGTGCCAAAAGAGGGTTTGATTATTTACCCTCGGGGATTTGCATCCGTATGCCGGGAACCATAACAAAATTCCAAATGAATTAGCCATATATTGCAATACGTACGATCATCGTATTGCAGACCCACGTAGTCAACGGCAAACAAAGTTGCAAGTAACCAATCCGATCCAAGAGTATGAAATGCAGTAGCCTTGCGACTATATTCTCAATAAATGGACATTCAACTTCCAGTAAAGGTCACCCTCACTAAGCAGCACACAAGTGCTAGGGCCCAAGTCTAAATTTGTACAGCTGATTAGTTTATATAGGCTCGCAACAAGTGAATCCACGTTTTGTTTCACGTCAGCAAACATAGTTAGGGGTTGTTTTAAAAACGTGATAATGAGTTACCGCACTACTTGCTCCTGCCGTCCATTTCGTGTTTAACAGCCAAGGAAAATATTACAGACTTATTATGGGTGCAGATTTTGCCAACAGTTGCTATTTTGTATAAACATTTATCACAACCCCTTGCAGTCTCAAATGTACACGGCTTTGCCACTATAATCAGGACGGTATCTGGGGTTGAAAAAAGCATTGCTATTGCACGAGGTATTTCTCATATTTGAACTGATCCAGCGCCTAAATGCCTACAAGAATTTTGAGAATCGTTCCATGGGCCTTCATAACTGGTTCCGTATAATAGACGTGTTCGTCTGCCTTATTAAGGTAAAGGGTCACTTAACTAAGGTACCCTTTTGTGACTAGATCCAATTCCACTTGAAAGGAACTATCAGGTTTGATGAAACTGTTGGTCGAAATGCTGCATTTTATTTAATCGGGTTCATGAACACTGAATCAGAGTTGTGGCACTTTTCGTAATGGAAGTATAACTGCCACTTTCCTATTTGCCCACATTGTGGATGATTTAAGTAAGCTACGCAGTTATTAGGTACTGAATGACTTTAATCAGGTCCTGATGTGGCGAACCCTAAGTCCAGGCAGAATGTACTTTTACCATGGCTGTACTTTGCGTCTTGGCGTTCAATAAGGGCCTGCGACGGCTGCGAGGTCATCACGACTTCAACCAATCAAATCCGCCCTCGGGAGTGGATTAAAAATGTACTTTCCAATTTGACGCTGGTTTAATGTTGTTTGGCTACACTTGTCAACTTATCCACCCCACCCACCGTGAAAGTGCTCGTGCTTATGGTAAACCGAAACGTTTTAAGTGTGAAGAAAACGACTTGCTAAGCCAGTTTCCACGCCCGTCTGGAAAAGTGTAGAGCAATCTGGTCGCGATGAGACAATAATTTCGATTACTTTGGAAAGTCTGCGAAACCAGGTAGTAGTATGCCTACAATGAGAAACTCACAATCTCATTTCTGATGAGAAAATCGAGTTAAAATCACATTCATCCTATCATCCTTAAAATATTTTTCACCTCTTTGGCTGCACGGGCTTAATGAGAAGACTTGGAGGGAATTTTTGCAGTACTCTTGATCAAATACAGATATCCGTAAATGCTATGCTCCTCTACGTACAGCCCATCGTATTTCCGCAAACACGCGTCCCTTAACCATCTGGAAATTAGCACTATTTTGGGTAAACAAACATTGCGACGCCATCCGCAGGTGAATCAAGTTTCGCAAAATGACTGTGCTGGCGCCTCTTGGGTATCTTTTCAAACAGTCCTTCATCGTTTCGTGGTCTTCTATAGCCAAGCACAGCCAGGTGCCGCTATTTCAAACCCGATTTTCACCTGAATTAATTTGTCCGACGACACTGAAACGTGGTTAATGCGATGATGTAAACGTGCAAACGATCATAGAAAGTGACCGGCACAATTGGAAGTAAGTTACGACCACGATAACGCCAGCATTTCAATTACTTCCGATGTCCCTAGTCACCTTTGGTCAAAAAGCAAGTTTAACTCACACCAAGTTAATTACACAAAATAGATTTCAATTTCCAAAATGAACAATGCAGTCTGTGAAGTTAAAGATTAGAGTGATGCCAAACATGACACCTGCGGCATGATACCACCCGATTTGATGCAACTGGTTCACTGCAACCTGGTTCAGTTGTGCGGATGACAAGGTAGAGGTAAAAATAAAGTACAAATTGGCCTATTCTATATTGGACCCAAGTGGGGAAAAGTGTGTTCCAAAACAATGAACAGTTTGCAAAATCCATTTCCTAAGTATCGATTGCATCTACCACCTACTGGTTGATCAACGATTCAACATTGCGGCCTAGGGAGTACTGTGGACTAGTGAAACGGCAACGAATTCCACGTACCATTAATTAAGGCCATGATTGCTAATAGGCAAGCGTAAGAGTACATTGATAATTATTCAGTATTTTCCAACCAGTTCAAGGTTCAGATTACTAACTGGAATGCACCAAACCGTGTAAGTGTTGAGTTTGAATAGAGATCGTAAGGTTTGTTATGGTCATTTTGAGAATCAAACCGGAAGAAATGCATTTTTCTTCTTCGTGAAGTCAAAAATTCATCTGTTCACACTTCTTTGAATATGCTGAGTCTGCTTTGTATTCGATAACAGACATTTAGTAATCCTGATTTCATTTTGTTGCGTCGTGTCAAATTCTGGAACAAAATTTTTGTTTCTTGAAACACGAACGTTGTCTACTGAAATGACCTAATTTTGGCTTGTTAACAGGGATCTTACTTCGATGAGCTCGTGCACGTGAACTTGAGGTCTTGGAAAATAGTCTTTTAAAAAATGAGTGCCTTTATGCTTATTAAAAAGTGCCCCCTTCATTGCCACAGTAGTAATATAATTCGGGCCTTTTTCTATAATTGGCGGGTATCCAAATCACTGGACTTTCAGAGCACTTATGTGTTCATTCCTCATTGGTCTAAACATTGTAGTACTCGCACTCCGTGAGTATCTTTCGCCAGTGACCTAAGTTCTGTTGCCTGACTATCACCCCATTACTGTTACCTCTTTTTCAGAGTAATATATCTGTTCGACCCAAAAACCAACTTCGTATCCAATATCAGCAATGGTTTTTGAATTAATGCTCTTCAGAATCGATAGGTAAAGCATTTGGAGTGCCCTTAATTAAAAAATTGTTTTGGAACATGTTGACTAGGAAGAAAGCAGTGATACGAAATTGGCCATAAAAAGGGCTGCAAACTTTTCTATAAAATTACCCGGTTTTAAGTGCATAGCTGCGTGAAAGGAAAAGGCCACTTCGACCAATGTCTTTAACAGCCAAATGTTGGCAAAATAGTGGCATTTTGTGGATCTGGAATTCCTAACAGAGCTGTCACTAACCTTCACCGTTCAACTTGCCTCCAAATGCCTACTTGATTGATGCCATCAACTGGAATTACGCTATATCACTTCCTATCTGCGGTATTTGGACAGATCGGGCACCAATTTGGAGATGGTTTCCAGTGTATGAAAACTCGAACAGGTGAACCATTGCGTTCTATGAATTCCCACGAAGAACGGATTTTATTGCTAAACGATTTGAGTCGATTAAGAACCTCATTTCGGATTATCAAGGGCTATCAAAATACCATCAAAAATGCATCCAAATGACAGCGGTATTCACAAGCTGACTCAGATCACTGCTCGATTACAACGGCTTTTCATGTTTCGAATTTTTTCGTTTTCATGAGCGTGATCTGCGTAACTGAAAGAATATTCGTGCTTGGTGAAAATTCGGATTAAGAACATGTGTTTGAAAAACAAAATCCAGCACACTTAATTACCATTAATAATGCTGCATGTAGTCTTAGTTATTAGACTGAAAAAGATCTCTTTTTTTAATCTCTTGCCTGTGAGTACGTTGCCTCTGCCTAATGAAGTATTGCGTTTTTTTTTATTTTATAACCACATTTTCTTCGGTTGGTTCGAAAGTCTAGTTAGATGCATTTAGCCTCAGATGGTGGGTGATAAGTGGGCAAAAATAAATTGCAATTTCAAAAAACTTCACTAACGATAGTTTAAATCGACCTTTCCAAAAGCGCAACTACTACTTAAAATCTACTTGCCTAGACACATACACAATAAATCGTCCACCTCTTTTAATTAACTAGCAGCGCCGAAATTAAATGGATTTTAATGTTATTTGATGCAAAGTAGACAAATTTGGCAATTCAGATCGATCCCAAAACTTATGAAATCACACAAATGAAGATTTTTCCCCTCTTCAGGGCATCAGAGAGAGGTGCGAGTGATCACGTAAGAAATTTTCAGTGTAAATGCTATTTGGACGAGTTTAAATTTACCATATTGCACTGCCCCGTCACGTGGTCACTCATCTGCCCACGTGTGGGAAAAATCAATATTTACGGCGTCTGCGAGATCATTTAACGTGTAGGCTTTGTCTGTAATGCAACCTATACGTAGTTTCCAACGTGTTGCCCGATCTACATCCATTGCAGACTATCTTGGACGCGAACCAAGGTCCTTCCAGAAACCGATTCTACACTTGTCGCATGACTCAGGTAAAATCCTCCAATTTACCGAATCGGCCAGTTCTGGAACACAAGAATGTGCACCGTTGAACACAAATCAGTCAGGGAACCTTGGGAGTAAAACGAGCATACCTCGTCCTGATCACAAACTTCTGAAAGAAGATGAACCTCCTAGACCATTGGAATTGAAGGAAAATAATGTGGCCGAAAGAACAGTTCGGAACCTTCCTGAAATCAGGACCCATATCGCAGAGCCGACCGAGAAAAGGCCTACCATTTCAGTTCAAATGGACCAATCTCCCAAAAGAAGACCCCTCCATCTTCCACTGGCTCGCAGGAAGGTACAAAAGTTTACCAGGGTAGTTGATCAGTCCCAACTTCATGGAAGGCCAGTTTGGAATTCATCTGCGAAAATTGACAAAGGACTGACTTCCGGAGGTCACGCTCTTGGAAACTCCACGAGATCAGGAAGATCAGCCTCTATTCCAATTCATAGGACTCGAAGAGAAGTAAGTAGTAGAATGGAATGTCAAGCATAACCTCTTCGACCAGGTGCGAATTTAGTGGTTAGGGTAACTGGTCAAGTTTCCAATTTGAGAAGTCGGTTGGTTAACCTCGAGTTTTTAACCAAACCAGTCTTGCTTATCGGTTTGATAATGTTCTTAAAAGGTTTTAGTAGGTATCCAGATTTTTGAGCCCATCAGCGTTTTCTTCAAAAATTATTGATAAACACTAGATTTTTGGATGCAAACCATACGCCCCAATCTACGAGGAAATAATCCCTTAGCTAGTCTGATTTTTTTGGTAGCAATATTGAAAATTCATTAATGTTCACATTTCACTGCCCTAGTTTTGAGTTGCGATTTATCACCTCTTTATTCAGCCTTCGTCACAGAGATCAACTTCAGTTGAAGCAAATTCGGTATTTGAGCGGCTCTATAGAGAAGGACTTCGTTCAAAAGAGGCCGCGCAGCCAGACCTCGCGAAAAAAACTGTCAGCTTGCAGCAGCATCTTCGATCTCTCTCGCCCCTTCACAGTCAGATGTCCACGGTTCCCGTCAATCCAGATGGATGGCCTGACCAACAAAGAACTGAGACTTGTTCTGACCTATCAAAATTGCCCTTTGACTCACAAGAAACTGATCGGGTGCACGACGTTAAGCTCGGTGAAGCGGCTCATTCAAAGTCACCTGTGCTGAAGCCGGGGAAGATTAGTCCGGTGAAACAGCCTTCGCCAAGGAGAGAGGTGAATCCGTCTATCCTTAGGGAAAAGTCAGCATTAGTTCCGAAACCTCGGAGTAAGAGCTTAAAGAATATTCGTGAGTTTGATAACACGGCTTTACGAATACACCAAACATCGCTTCGTAGGGATTTGGGTAAAAGTGCAGGTTACAAATCTATATCATGTGACAAGATACAGGAGAACCCAGATGGGACAGTTTTGCAAGTGGACGACGAGCAACGAGAAGGTGCACCTGAGACTACTGTGAAGAGGTCTGAGCAAAATCCTTGTGCGTTCTTAGAATCACAGAATAAGGAAATTAATTTGGATTCTTTTGGTCCTGGAGGCAGCGACCAAAAGGAAGCACAACATCCGGACATTTATGACCAGCGTTTTAAGGAATTATATCCTCAACCCCACTTAGGTGGATTCCATCACGAATATCCCATTCGAAATGATGAGACTGAATTTCAGAACACTTTCACTAGTGAAATAAACTTGGACCTTGGCGATAATTCCCTGGGTGCGCATTTCTGTAAACTTGATAAAACAGACCCCCCTTCGATAAGCATTTCAGCAGTGGTTGGGAAAGTTATTGATAAGGCTTGTCAGGAAGTCGGATTATCATCGATAGGATTGTCTGGTATCCTGTCGCCACCTCACAACGAAAACATAGAATCAGGCAGCGTGCTACTGCCAATTGACTATAATGAAGAGCCAGTGACGATTCCGACAGAGAATCTCCTTCCTGTTTCAACGAAAAGCGAACGGGAAGATCAACACACTGCTAATTCTGCCAAGTCAAGTTTGGCAGACCAAGTCGTGCAAGTTACTGCGGCTGTGAACGACGAAGAAGGGCCTTTGGAAATGCCTGAAGACTTAGCTAGCGTTCAGTTAAGACGTCCTCTCAAAAAGCCAACATCAACCTATGGAGATACAGATTTAAATACCGATACCACGGATATCTCCATCGTTTTGGTCACATCCATGAACCCATCGCTAGAGGTATGCAATGAAAACAGGGAGCAGTGGTCGTATGAAGACGCATCTCTGGTTGCCTCAAAGAGTACCAGAGGGTGTCTTCAAGAGTGCACCAAAACTTTACAGAAGAATGTAGCACTCTCGATGAAATCTGAGATGGGGGAATCATTGAAGGAGCCGTGTTTAATGGCCTCGCTTCTCGAAGACTCGAAGTCGAGGATCGATCCTGTTGAAAGCGATCCGACTATTGTGGAAAGCTACGCCCTGACGAAGGTTCTCCAGTTCCCACACCCACCGTTTCCCCTTCTTCATGACCTCTTGAGTTTGGAGAGGGCTGGGGCAATTCTGAATTGCGGGGAGGAAGTGATACAAAATCTGGATAGTCGAAGAACCTACCGGGGGAATCCCATTGAGCCAGGTGACGAGGAACTGTACATGTATCCTGAGGACGGAGAATGGTCGGGAGATTCGGATGACGAAGAGCGGTTTTCAGAAGTCACCTCTAAGCAGGAGATGCAGTCGCCAACTTTAAATGATACAGGAGACAAACCAGACTCGAGGCCAGGCAGTCCGAACTGTGAGGCACCTTCGGATATTCAGCTTCCTGCTTCGCCAGAAGTAAGTCTTAAATTTTACCCCCCCAGGGTTGCTTATTAGAAGAATATCTACAAGCACACGTCAACTAATTGCCCGTCCATTAACATCAACTTTTGTAAGCAGTCACGTTGATCTGGTCACTTTAGGCATTAACCGTGTTATTCAACTGTAGTGTGAAATTCAAATGATACGTCTTTACTAAATTCCCAGTAGATTATATGCGCATAACTTGTCTCCTATTAAGCAGCGTAATAGGCAGAGATACAAGCTCTTTTAATTCGAAGCACCCAAGCAGGTGATGCAGTCAAAAGTTTTAGGATGTTTTTTCATAATTAAAAAATCTATATCGCTAAATTAAGTGACATTTCATGGTGTCTGCTTTCCATTTTACCTAAGACGCAGCAAATAATCTTTTCCACAAGACCACGAAAAACATTGACACAGATATGTTTTAAAAAGGTTTATCAAATGAACTCGTGATTAGGGCATTGGGCTGGAACCGATTATAGTACGGTAGATTTGACTGGAATTTTTGCTAGAAATGCTACTTAAAATTATAAGGAGGTTTATAACTAGAAGTAGATATCCACCAAACCTATTTTAACGGATTGCTAAGCATCTGACATAGTCGTTAATTTCAGCATATTGGGAGATGATATAGGTGGAAGCAAACATTGACGGACACTTTTCGGTTTGCCATCAAGCTACCAAGACAATGACTTTTACTGTAAATTAAATTGGTTTGTAATATGAGTGTTGTGAAGGTATTTTGATATTACAAATTTCATTCCTTGGTCAATCAAAGAAATCTGGCATATAATATTGTTTCTATGACATTATAAAATTCATATTTTGCCCGTAGACATGTTATACACTTAAGAAAAAGTGTTTAAACCTGGGGATTCAGTGATATTTAAATAGCGAAAAATGTGGAATGTTCTAGTAAATTAAATTTCTGTCTACTCTGGTAGCCACTTATCTCTGCTAACTTCATAAAAGTTATAAATACCGTTTTAATAATTTAATTCACATACTTTTGGATTTGTTCTAATGTGTAAACAATGTGATTTTAAATGACGGTTGTGGGAAAGGTAACATGTGATCACTATAATTAGCATGGTGCCAAATTTAGTAGCAAGAACAAACCACAAAATTCTACTGACGCTCTTGACATGCTGGGTGCAATATTTATTCGGTTTTACTTTCAGCTCGGAAATACTGATGCTCTTCCTGCACATTCTACTTCGTTTTCACTGAGGGTTGATCGATGTGACCAGGAGGGAAGCACCGTGACCACACAGGGTTTGAAGGCTTTACCTAACACTAATTTTTGCAGCCTCATCTCGGTCTGGTAGTTTTAAGCGAAGACAACTAGTCCTGACCAACCGTGGACCCTGCAAGCATCAAAAGGAACAAATTAGTAAGTAGAGGTGTTGGTTGTTTTCACAAAATCCTTTAGGTGACATCGTGCTACGCAAGGGATCATCGGACGAGTCTGTCGAGGAGATAGCCCATTTGAAGAGAGAGCTCTTCAAACTGCACTCTCGCTTTAACTCGCTGTGCATTATAACCAAGGATGTGGTTCCGGAACTGAAGTTGAGCTATCGTGAAGTCGTATTTGCCATCAGAACCAGCCTACACTCTAAGAAAGCAGTTGCATGCCAGAATACCACGAATGCACTGGGCGCAGCTTTTGTCCAATGTGTTGAGCAGTTCGTGCAGATTATTAATAATAAGGTCTTGTGCCAAAATTGGCTGGGAGCTTGGGACAAGGCGTGCTTGATGCGACTGAAAGCAGACTTTATACGCTACCTATCCGAGACCTTCCCCCAAAACGAGGACTACCAGCGGAAGTGCCATGATGCCTACAAAAGTGCCCGTCTCTTTTTCATTGAAAACAGACTACAAGAAAAAGCTGAGTGGGTGTATCTTCAGATGAACTACGCCATTTTTCTCCACTCAGTGGGGTTCCCGAGTCTTGCACAGTACATAAGTGAGAAACTTATGCGTTCTTTGGTTGTTCGTCGATGTGGGAAGGATATCCAGCAGAAGCTGCGTTCAAACCTTCGGTTCTACAATAAACCCTAGAACTTCGAGTAGGTCGACAGTCGCAAACAACTTGAGTCAATTGTTCTGAATCGCGATGGCTTTGGTTACAGAGAAGTAAAGGCTGGGAAAACATCTGAGCCTTGTTAAAGTACTGGTTGAAGTTGCTAGTTAACAAACCGATTTTATACAAATAAATTCACCGATAGACTAAGTGACTCTATAACAATCAACAAGCGTGAAACTTGGTTTTGTGTATGGTTTATCATTTCTGCTATTGCAATCGGCTTTTATTGGCAGGGGAGGCAGTTAATTGCATTTTATATTTACTGGAGCAATTTTTTGATTAAATACTCCCATCAGCCTTTGACAACGAATTCCGAAAAGGGAGGGGAAATGAGAATGAGGCCTCATTTTTAATAACCTGACTGGTTAACTGAAGGCGGAATTCGTGTTAAGCAATTTTACTTGAAATAACAAAACGGGGTTTGAATTAAAGTGCATAACCCAGGTCTAGTCAGCATCACAGTCTCGTACATCCGTGAGCATTGGAGCAAGCTGGTAAGGCTAAGCATTTTTTACCGTGTTTACATGGGGCATTTGGTTTGTGCTGCAATCAACCCTACTACTGAAGAAATAATCACCTCAAAAGGTGGGCCAACACACAATCGTACTCGTACCTGTGAAGATTGAAGAAACGTAGGCGCACACCTGATACTCGATCAAAATTGTGTTACACGCAATTTATGCCACGTGTTAACCGGTCAGAATTAGGGCATATTATAGGGCTAGTTTAGGTCCCGAGAAGGCTGTGCTACGCGATCATCGAATTAGGCATGGAAACTATTAATGGGGTTTCTCGAAAAGGTCACATTTAATGAAACGGCCAAGTCACAATGAAATTGTGTAGAATTCAAAACATGGAATCGAAGACACCTATTATCATCTCTCAAGCTCAAAAGTCGACGGTCCAACTTTAATCTCTACAACTGATTTAAATGACATGAAAGCATTTTAAAATAGAGGGCTACGACTGCTTGTTAGCAGTGGACAAATGGGCTGGAGTGAGGAAAGTTGATTCATGGTTTTTGATTAATTAAAAGCATGTTTTTGGCCCAGTATGTTAAGTGCAGTTAAATTCGGGTACAAAATTTGCTTCATGAAGTTGCCTATAGCAGTAGTGGAAAGTTAGGAAATAATTTAACTCAAATTAAATTATATATCCCCAACCGTGACACATGTCAAAATGTTTGTTTATTTTTGCCAGAAATTAGAAAATGAGGTATTATGAACTGCAGTATTCTTCTACAGATTCATTTCAGCAGTCAAACATAGTATGAAATTTTTATTTCGGAGTAAAATACTTGTTCGACCTTTATACCCCCCGTAAATAGCTCATGTTATTTTTAGCTTTAGGACACTGGTACATTCTCATAAGTGTTCCATAAATACCCCTTTGAAACAAATAAGAAAAAGATGTCAACGCTACAACTTTTTTAAATATGCCTATTCTGTAGTATTAACCAATTTTAAGAAATAAAGGCTATACTGCTAGAAATTGGTCGTTTTAGCAAAATTGCCCATTAAAAATCTGAATACATTATATGATTGCCAAAGAATTAGAAAAATTTTTAGGCAATATTAGAGCACACATATTGAGTAACTACATCTGACACGAAAAAAATATATAACACAGGGTCTCATTGTTCGACATCGTCCAAGGTATTTAATTTACATGCAGTATCGATTATAAGGAATTAATGTTTAAGAACCAATTACGACAGAAATATTATGGTAGACGACACATTTCAAGTCACTTTTTGCGTATAAATGATGTTCTTCAAATGTTGCTGTTAAATGACAAACCCAGTCAATATTTTCCACAAGAAGTATAATGATAACATAAATGATGAAACTTGGGTTAAGCTCGGGAAGTCATATAACACTTACCAAAATTAAACAAATTGTGTCACTCATTCTAAAAAATTCAAAGTTGCTTTCATATGGTTTTTAGCTCGTAAAAGTGAAATATCCAACGTTTGGTTGCATTCACTAGACCCTCAATAAAGGAACCTGACTTTATTTGTTCCATTACAACACAATAAACCTATAGATTTGTGTTGATAAAACTACTTGAAACTGACGAAGTTAACCTGACTTTTTGTATAATAAAAACAATCTTGAAATCTTCATTGAGGAAGTCTATGAAAAATATAAATTGCTGTGTACTAGTAAACAAGATCTATATTAGCACAATGTAGTTGGAAACGTTGAGATAGCTTCGCAGAGTTGTCCCACATCAGCTCGACATTTTTTAGTTAATAGCTTCTAACAAACCAAAAACAAAGGCAAGACAGGTGACAGCTTAAATGACCACTAATTGGCGGCAAGCAAACCAAGTGTGTCCTTGGGTGCATGTAAGCGTGTGAAGATTGTGAAGAGTGCCTGATTGAAATTAATTAGTGAATCTTTGAGAACAATCAGCCTACGGTAAATCCGTTTGGATAATCTTATTTTTTTAATAGCTGGCTGATCATCCACTACAATGTCTCTATGATATTATGAACCACACTCGAATCATCACATACCCCCAGTTTTAGTTGATTTTCAAAGCGATGACTAGATAATAAATATTTTATTCACAAAAATTAGAAACAGAAAAATGTAAAGGCAGTGTTGAATCAAGGCTTAATAAACTGCAAAAGAAGATCGTGAAAATGGATAACATCACAGGTGAAATTATTGACTTCTGTATTTGATGTATGATTTATCACGACACTACCTACTTTTTCTGGATGCTCTCAAAAAAACAAGTGTATTTAATTTAAGTGTAAATTTATTATTTTGTATTCTATGTATTTTATTAAATAATTATTGCGGGAAAGACTTTAAAATGACACCTTTCAACCTAACTATTTTAACTCATTACTTATCATCCAATCAGCTAAGGCGCGTAGCGATGGTCATATTTTCTACATTTAAATGCAACAAAATACTTCTAAGCAGCTTAAGGAATGTAAGCAAAGCAAGCAAAAAAACTCGACGTACCAATAATGGGAGTGGTTTTCGAAAATCGCATGAATCTGAGCTAAAGATTTCACCAGAAATGTTTGATGCTGTTGAACAACTTTCTAACAGTCTAATCAATGACACTTCGCGTTCTGTTGCATCAAGTCTAACTGAAGAACACTCAAAATTACGCAGGCGAATAAAGGCGGCGATTATTTACAAGAAAAATTTTAGGTATTTCCAAATTAAAGTAATTTGTTTTAGTGGTCCTCCTCAGTTGTCAATCTTGACATACCGAGCAAAAGAACAAATTTCCCACTTGTCCAAAACCGATTCCTCGGAGTGGAGTGCAGACACTATTAGTCAATACTTCCCGATTTCTCATCAAGGAGCAATGCGACTTCTACATAAGCAAGACAAGGCCCCAAATCGCTTTTTCCGTTCTCTTGAGGATGTCATACGGCACGATACTCAATGTATTAAGCGCTGGCTGATGCTCATGGAAACAATTTGCAGTGCACAGGTCTATAATCAGGCAAAAAATAACAAATCACAAACATTGGAAGCTTTGAGCACTCTGCTACCAGAAGGTCTTCGTTGGATTGGGCTCAATGATGTTTTGGAAAAGCTAGCTTTTGCAGATGGCAATTCAACTCTTCCTTTCCCACCCCAAACCTCCGTTGAGGCGTATAATTTTGTAAAATCGCGACATCAACCAGGCCCTTTTGAACTAATCGCTGAAAAGTTTCACAAGAGTCAATGTACTGCAAATGATTCTGTTGCTATTCGAGAACAACAGCTGACTGTGATCGAAAAGTTAATTTCGCTTTTCAAGAACATGGACTTTTCCATCTTCACTGAACCCCTAATGAATGATGATTCCCTGACTTTTAACATGCTTTGTCGCGACTGGTTAATTACTGACCCCAACACTGAATTACTTGAGCAGCCCTCCCCTCCTAAAGTGAGGTCAAAAGTCGACTGCGACTTTACCAAAATTATACAATATAAGCGCATCTGTACATAACGCCTTCCTTTCATATTTAAATAAAATTCATTTGCACCAGATTTTGTTTGTCTTTGTTTTCGCACTGGTTTTTTTACAAATGGTTTGTTTGTGGATTTTCAGGACCTGACTATTGGATCGTTGATCGAGGGGCCCATTTTACCAGACACAGATGGCAGCAACTGTCGTCACTCCATTTTAGAAAATGCAATCTCGGGCTTAAATCTTCAGTTTCCGTCGTCTACCAGTCGGATTTTAGGCGGCTTGCCTCCTATTGATACATTTAGTCACCAAGTGCATCAACTTTGAACTTTTGTCGTTTGTTACCTGGAAATTCTCTTGAACTCTTCTTTTACTTTAGGAGACAGAGCCAAGGAATAGTGAGCATTTTAAGAGCAGGTGTTGTGCAAAAGCTAAAAGTGTAGGTCTCCTGATATGGGATTTTTGTTGGCTTTCTTAACCGTTACTTCCATGCCACTTTTTGGACAATTTAGCAATTAATTCGATCAGCTGCGTACAACCACAGACGCGCAAGACAATTAGTGGGTACTAGCGACGCCGTCAGTAACACTCGTGATAACCATCGCTTCGTTTGTCCCATTCCCTCATGCCTTCGCGCAAGACCTGAGGGCGCCTTTAAGCGGCGGTATGTGTCGGAAATTACTTTAAATTACCTTTAATGACCAAATAGTGCAACTATTTACCAATCCCTGGCAGTTAGAGCACTCATAGGTTATATATTCGTGAATTTTCAAGATTTTAAAATTGTAGTAAAGTTCGTTTGCCTCCAGTAACGTTGATTCGTCTGAGACGAGTTGGGACCAAGAGACAGTTGATGCAGCACTAGAGGCCTGCTATTCTTGTGGCTATTTTCTGCAATTAATAAGCGAGCAGTTATTTCTTATCCGGCTTCGTACATACTGTCTGTAAGATAGGCAGGTAAAATGTGTGCCCTAAACCGAAAAAATACGACTTTTAATTAGCCCTTACAAAGTAGTGTAACCCTCATGGAATATCACTTGCAAACCCTATCTAGTTTTGCCGGCACTGTATTTTGCGGTCTCATGCAACTTTTGTCACTTTGGGACCCTCTAATTAATCATAATGGCGCAGTTGAGCCGCTTCTTCATGTGCGCACAATCAAATAGGACCATCAAGTGGTAATATCATTTAACACTCAGAATTTACTTGAAAGTTTAACGTTAGCTCTCCAAAATAAGCTCTTAAGAAGCGTTTTTCGGTATTCTAGGCTTGTAAAACGCCTGTTTTGCGCTTGTCGATATTTTTTTATGCTAATCTGCTAGTATTTCATAGTAAGCACCTCTGTGTTCTCGTACGGTCACTAAGATAAGTTCGCTTGTCCCACCCAACCGGGCCTTTCTGCTTCCCCTTTGTTCGACGACGCAAAACTAGTCTCGAATTTTTGGTTCAATCGCTAATTTGTTTCCCCAGTCTTTGTGGTCGGACCGAGTTGAAATAGCTTATGTCTTAACTTTATGCTCATAAATTTAGATATAGTTTTAAGGTCTGTCGTGGATTAACAAACACTGGCTTGCTCTTAATTCGTATCATTTATTTAAGTAGGAGGCACAAGCTTATTCGTTGAATTGTGAAACAACGGGTTATCCTTCGGCCTAATCTTCTAGCGGTTGTCTTCCGTGTCTTTGGCTCAAGCACTTTAGCTTATTTTCCGCATATACTTTTAGCGTTTCTTTTCTCTAGGTACCTCCTACGCGAGCACCTGAATTTTCACAGGAAGGAACAGCCCTTCTGCTGCAACCGATGCCCCAAGCGTTTCACGTCACGCCAAAACTTGGCGCGCCACCGGCTTGCCCACGCTGGTACGTTTGTGAACAACTTTCTCCTTCCAAAAGCCCATTCAAAGTTTCTTTTAATAGTGGTAGATTATGCTACGGTAGTTTTTAGGATTAGAAGTCAAACTAGCCTTCGTTTCCCCTGTTTTCCAACATTTCTTCTAAGCTGTTCGTACGGTTCCTGCGAGATCCCGACTTTTCTCTGCAGCAGTAACACCATTTATCAAACTTTTGTCCTTTCCATCTGTTGTGCAGTTCTTACAGCAGATGAGTGCTTCGATTTAACTAACTTTCCACCAGAGCGCCTCGATGAGGGCCTCTTATGTCCTAGAAACGCTGCTTGACTCTCCTCTACTGTCTATCCGTTTCAAACCGCGCTCGATGGCTCTATACTGATCAAAGACCTGGTCCGTGTTTTTCGCTTTTTTGTTTATACTTAAACCTTGATTTTGCCCCCGTTAGGCGTAACGTACACCTGCCCTGAATGTCGCCACGTCTTCGTGCGGTCTTCCGACCGCTCCAAGTGTCTACGAAATCACAGACTGCAACGTAGTTCTGCTGAAGAGGTAGCTTTGTTTTTCAATTTGTTACTTTCGAATTTCGTGCCTTTAAGTCTGCGTCACTCACAGTACCTGCTTCTTGATAATTTTCTGTTTACTTTTTCATGTAGAGGTAGAACTTGTGGCTTCAACGACAGGGCGCTTTTCTCCGTCGTAGTGACTCATGAGCCAAAAACTTGTGCCGTTTCCGACATAGTCGCTCAAATTTTCAGCGTCTTTTGATACCAACTTCTTGCAACACTTATCCCATTTATTACCATTTTTTGTGGCTTTTGAAGTTGTAAAAAGTGATACGAAAACCCCTCTGAATGGATGCCCTTTCAGGTGTGCTGGTCATTTCGTTACTTTCCACCACTTTGGTGCTAGCCTACCACCCTCTGCTTGACCTAGGTACTTGACGACCACGTACAAATCCCAAGCCTGTCAATTGTGCCAGTTGTAGCAATTTCTGAGTGTCCACAGAAGGCGTTTGGCGTTGCCATTGCTAATCCTAGTTTGTGAGGCCTTAATTCCTAGTTTGGGTGTAATTCTGCCCTGGCGATTGCCCAATCTGTGATCTTGGTGTTGTGTTGCTTTACAAGTATTCAACTCCTTCCCTCGACATAGGAGGTTACCTCGGCAACCCCGTCCACTGTGGTCGCTAAGCCTGCAAATGCAATCATGGCGTTTGGTGCGAGCAAAGCTACCGGGCCCTACATCTGTCCTGTTTGTCCTGGCCAACGCGACTACAAGCTCGACTCTTCCTTGCGGAAGCACATCCGCCTGCATCATCCCGACTACAAACGAAGCCCGACGTGCAGCCAACTTCCCCGAGGGGATCACTCCTTCGCTAAGGCGGCACCACCTCAGTCGATGGTGGGCTCAAAAAGGGTAAGCTGCTTAGTTCCTGTGAACGGGGTGTGTAATCTCCTCAGCTCTTTGCGGTGACGGCTAGCCGCCCTGACCATGAAGCACCCACACTAGTTGTCGTATTATTAGATTCATTTTTATTGTGGCCTGTTGTGAATGCTGTTTGTCACCGGATACCACATTCCTTATTCCGAATATGAGTCATTTCATGTAGAAACGACATAAAGAACTCACTATTGTAAGGTAAGATAATTAAATAATGCAGCTCACCAGCCCTCAGCTTTTGTTATTGTGAGCTTCCCTTTATCTTGCGTATGCTAAGGATTCTATGCTGCTTAAGGTTATCTTTGCGTGTGTATGCGGAAGCAGAACTTGCCAAATTATTCGCTCATTTGTATTCTTTATCTATTCCCCGACTGGTTGATCTTGTAGACCCCGGTAGAAAATGAGACGGTGGTGAATTACAGTCTGAAAACCGCTGCTGTGGCAGATGTATCAGAGTCGACGTCACAATTGCAGACTGGCGGTGGCACTAGTGCTGAAGCCTATATCTTATCCACCGGGGAGCTAATCTACGCAACAGACACGCAGTATCCTGCATACGAAAATTTCATTCCCATCGGTGGTGGTACAGATGGAAGTAGTAATGAACAGGTTAGTATCAAGTACTTTGAAGATCCGTGAACCATGCCGAGTCGATTGAATGCTTCATCCTACATGTCTGTCTCTCCACCCTAGCGTCCCGCCATCCTAATGGAATTGACGTCAACTCGGCCGGCGACGGTTGGTGAGGATCCACGAAGACTGGCTCACAGTGCTGTGCTCGACACCACCGAGGGCTCCTTACTGCTCACTCACTGTCTTCCTGTTGATCTCTGCACCTCGGCTCTGTGCTTAACCGTTACCGATGCCCCGGTTCCCACGTCTCTGTCATCTGTAAGTTTTCCTCCAGCGTTGATGCCTGAATCTCCAAAGATAACGACGGCGGAATCGCCGAAATCCTTCCCTTGTCAATGTGGGTCGTTAACGTAGACATAAGTTTCTGCAATCTGATCAGTGTGTGTGACCAGTATTGTCTGTTGATTTTACAAGCGTTTAGTCATGCTTAGTACTGTAAATCACATTGCTGTTTTTCCTTTTTGCACTTAAATTGGCTTCTAACGTGTTCAAATGCGGTCATGTGTGTTATTTTTCTGTACGCTAGCAGTGTCCTGGGATGAAGTATGTACCTAGAATTATGATAATCCCTGCAGCACTTGCTCTAACCGGATGCTTCTGTCAATAGTCCTTTCCAAATTAGGGTTGTTTTTCCTTCCTAACAATCGTTGAGGTCGGTTTAAGGCCATTTTGCCTGTACTTATGTTTTCACCGTAAAGTGGCCTACACAGTATTCAGATTTCTTCAGTATACTCGACTACAGAATTCCTCCTTTCGTGTATAGACGTAGTGTGACCTATTGGTCGACCTGTTGTCTGACTTGATATGACGATGTCGGATTAGTCACGAAGAGCGAAGGCAGCTTGAAATACTTTATGCCGTCAACATGGGGTTATATTTCATCCAGCTTACAACTCTGTCATGCAGTGCCGACTCGCTAGGTGGTCAGCGCGCGAGTTCGCTGAGCCAGTAAAGCAACAGCAGCGGTGATGGGTAACGATTGGTTAGGCCGAGGGTAAACGTTCTGGGTTTTCCTTGCCAGTTCCTTGTAACTAACCAGTCACCTCTTTTTTCACTACTCTCAGACAAACCAGCAACACACGGTTATTCCCGTTGATCCCGCCGTCTGTCCTTCCATGACAGAGGGAGCCCTCGATCTGACCGACATACCCCACGAGGTAATCGATCTGTCTCACAGCCATCCCGTCGACCTGAGTGGAACGCATCCGCAACCGCCAAGGCCGTCCATGTGGGAACCAGAGCCGGGGTTCAGCTTTACCGACCTTCTCAACGTGGACGATGAGGACCCACGAGGGCTGCTGCTGGCTGACGGATTCGAATCAGGGCTGGATTTGCGGCTCCCTGAACCGCTGTGATTGCCGCAGCACCTCTTGTCCCAAGTCTGTTTGCATCATTTCGAGTTATTTTGTAATTAAATGTAATCCTGTGTAACTCGTCTTCGAAATTTGATCTCTGGGGGCCAGTCAGTGCCACAGATACAATGTCGCAGCTTGGTTATAAGAAAAACTTCGTCTCTGTGTTGCGTATTTTAACAAAATTCATGGCCCGGTCTTTGTGGTAGAGCAAACACGGTAGCAATAAAAGTTGCATGTACGTCAGCGGCGCGTTTGACCTTGTGTAGCTTGTGACCTCTTTCGTGTAGTGTGCTCTGATTGGAGTGGCATATTATGCTGTCTCATGCTGGTTTAATCATCCTGTTTTGGAGTGCTAGCGTTGACTTGGATGGAAGTATTACCAACATTCAAGTATCATAACTGTGATAACAGAAACAAGATTTGTGGCCCCATAACCTGGTTTAAGGAGGATTTTTATAATGGCAATTTTCATGTAGGCGAGTGCTAACAACAGGTTGTAATTAGTAGGTTTCAAGCAATTTTGCGAGGTAAAAACAACTGAGAGCTAAATTCGGCTCAAATCTTGAGACTGCAAATGATGCCAACTGATAAGCACTTTGCGTTGGCAAGGGACTGCTTCTTAGTTCCTACCGCAGCAGGCATACAGGTGAACACACTGGGACCAGAAGCGGAGTTCATGGAGGACCGAATGTGGTTAGAACTGGCCTTCAGTTCGGTCGTGGCCTCTCGCTCACTCAAACCGCGCTTCGCTTTGTGGGGACGCGTGTTGCGGGGTTTAGCATGAGACCACATGCACCTGTTTCGCAATCACGATAACGCTACACTTTTTTGTGCCGAATTCCTCACTGAACACCTTATTCGAGTAACTTTCTTAGCTTCAGGCTTCTAAATGAAAAAAAACGGTACAGTTGTTTTGTAAGTTAAATCAACAAGTTGTAACATTTTTAGTGCATCTTCTGCCAACTAGTAAGCACCCACCATAACGACATTTTCAAGCCGAAATTCTTTCAAAATTTAAATTGCATTTCTTTTGCCTGGTCTGACCTCGATGTCCCCACAGAGGCTGATCCAATCTTAAATTCCATCAAACGTGGACTATTTCATCATGATTATAACAACTGAGGACCTAGTCTTGACACATGACACTGGTGATGTTTAATCGAAATCATTAAGCGGAATTGGAAGTGCCCACTCCCCTATAATGATTTTGGTATTTTATGATTTCAGATTTTTTATCATTAACATTAAATTCCTAAATTTGTGGTAATATTTTGGTACTTGGAAAGCTCTCTGTTTAATGAACCACGAACGCTTCATTAAAGTGCTAACATCGCTCTTGTGATTCTGCATTAGATTTAAACGAAAGGGGCTGTGTAATGGGATTTTTATCTGGCTATAACCATAATTTACCCTCTTTCGGAAGTCAAATGAAGCGAACATGAACTAAAATGTTAACCAAGATGTTCTGACGTACGAAGTAAATCGATGGACCGGTAGATAGATCCAAAACCCCGATTGCAATTAGTCGAACCCCTATGCCTAGCCCATCAACATCAACCCCCAAACACATACACGGCGCTAATGAGTCACCGCCTCCCCAACCAGGACAAGGTCTCGTTCAGAGAGCTTTCCTCGTCCCAGCCAAAGACCGAGTCTGCCGTCAGCTGTGTCCACTTGTACCTGACGTGGGCGGCCTTGAATGCATGCCAGATTAAAAGTACGCGTCAGAATGAATGAGCCAATAGAAAGGTGGCGGTCGATATGAAAATAGAAGTTGGTGTATAAACATGAATAGTGATGAAATATGTGAAAGCGTCAAAAGCTTGATAGATGTAGTCTTTGGGATGCTGAATCCACAATAGATTCGCGGTTTTAGCAGAAATGAAACCTACTACACCTGAATTCCTTCTTTAATTAAGACAAAAAGCAATTTTTTTAAATACACATAAATTTATTCTGGGATATTTTTTGAGGGGAAATACTCCACTGCCCCCTGTTTAACTTCGACTTTTATCCTCGGCTAATTTTTTTGTCATAAGAAACAAAAAACATGATGTAAGGAAAGGAATCATGGCCCCACGCTAAATGGTTCATTGCGCATATTAAAAACAAATCAAAAGATTGTACTTGGAGGGATTTAGAATTTGTAGAAAAATGCATCCTCACGCGTTACACTGCCTGAGAAATTTAACCAACTTGAAACAAACTATTATTAACTTTGAAACAGCATCGAGTACATACAGTAATTTGTATCGACGTCAGATCCGAGATCAAAAAAGTCATTTTTTGGCTCAATCACTTTAATTTTCTTCGTTAATTGAAAAAAAGAATCGTCTCTTTAATCCATACAAGCACTATTTAGGAAAAAATTGCCCACAACAACTCTTTTATACCTTCTTAGTCAGGTGACACATTGGTGACTCGTGCCCGAAGCTTAACTGACCTTCCCAATTGGAATGCGTGAATTTGTCTAGACCAAAGCGACCGGGTTGGCTGGTGCCAGTTGTCAATCGATTCCAACAACCATGTCCATTTCAATTTCAAAGCTCTATTACGTTCCAAAAAAGAAATGTCTTGTTTTGGCATTATTTGATAGTGCTGGTTTTACATTTATGAAAATTGTCGACATTTGCCCCTGTTCCTTAGTGTTTTGGTCTAATAAAAGGCAAAATATAATTCTTGTAGAAGAACAAATCACTCCGTTTTACCGTAATAGAAAAGTACCATACCTGAAACTCTAAAAAGGTCTCTTTGGGCAAGGTCATGCATCTTAAATGCGGCTCATTTTCCAGGGCATAAGCAAATCACGTGACGGATCGGTGAAGTAAGCTTCAGTGGATTTTTAAGCCAAATCCCCGGCTTCTTATGAAAAATTAATTTTGCAAAAAGGGCCTTCACTGAAGTGGGTTAGGTATTTAATCGTGGGGCAGCATTGATAGACATTGTTAGTTGGAGCATATAATTTAGCATACCTTGAAGTATGGTGCATCTTCTATGTCGACTATTTTTTAAGCAGATTCAATGTCGACAAGGAGAAAGCAGGGTACTACAGGATGCGTCAGAGTAACAGAGAACCCAATATCGGCCTCACTAGAGTTTTGATCGAAATTACTACGAGATCACGAAGGCACAACCCGTTTGTGAGGCCTAGAGCATATTGATTTTTTTTTATTAATACCGGAAAATACAACACAGCCAATGAAAACAAAGCCCCGATTTCTCTTTCACGATTTAATAGCATCGTACCTTTATAAAAGTCAACGCACAAGGTTGAGATGACTTTTTCTGCCCCATTGTCGATTATATTTGCCTGGTAAGGAATCCCCTATTGAGTGTACCACAAATGGAAGTATTTGATGAGACAGACCTCCGTCCCAGAAGAGCAAGTACCACAAATGAATACAGAAAATTCCACAAAATGCAGGTTTAACACTTTTCGAGAAACGAATTTCTACATAGGATGTTTGTGAGTCTAGATGAAGTTACGGTTCAAATTATCGGCCAAGATTTAATTATCGAATACTCGAGTGAATACTAGCTCAATAACATGTGCTTTCTTATAAAGTAATTGTAGCTGTGGGAGTGTTGTGAAGATTTACTTGTTTGGTCTTCTCGACAAACCACTTCAACACTGTGACCAAAGTGTCGAGGTTCTAAGACCAGCATACTTGAAAATGTCTGTTTCCTATTAGTTCTTATAACTTAGGCGACAACCAATCAATTTCAAATCCCACCTGACACTGAAATAGCTAAATCAACATGGAAATCAAACCTTGTGTGACAAAACGCCATTAGGGAGAGTCGACAACTCCTCAAGTTCAGCTGGATTAGTAATGACGTGCGGGAAGTTAAGTAATTAAAGTGTTGATAAAACGTTTATTTGGGAGTGTGCTGAACCAGGCAAGACTCGGTTGGCTCGCTCATAGGCCGAGCTCAGCCACTGCATTAATTGGCTTATATGCAGATAAGTTATCTTAAATTAGTAAATATGGCGTTTACTCTACTTCCTTTGTAGGACCATAATGACAAACCACTTCAACACTGAGTCTTGTGAAATTCTTAGCTGTGAAGTCTCACAGAAAAGTTGTGGAATTGTGCTACAACCCCTGTGTTTGTGGTCTTTCTTCAGGACAGTAATTTTGTTACAAATCGTACACATTGGGTTGCATTTTCAGAAACACACAAATGACCTAAATTGCACTCCAGCGGAGATACTGCGTGGATGGGAGTTCATAAATTAAACGAAAAATCCAAATTCCTATTCGAAACTATTAATAACAATAAAAAATGTGAGTAATAGAAGGCGAAAGATTTGTTGTGAATCACTTCCTCGGCTGTATTTTACATTATTTCGCTATTTAACATGGATATTTGTTCGATTAATTTTAGCAAATACATCCCTTTCCAATACCTTCTATTACTTACCACAGGCTTTAGAAATTGTTAAGGTTTAAAGAAGAAGAAGAAATCAATGAATTTGCTTAATTGGATCCTATGCAATTCAATTTTTCCATGTTAGAGATATCCACTTAGGGAATTAGAAGACACATTTTGGAGAAGCTGGCTATTAGACACTTTAACACTTACTCCTCCTCTACTCAAGTCTCATTAAAAAAATAAACAAAGTCACTGCATTCCTTCGTCTTTCCTTCCCTATGTGACGATTTGCATTTTAATGGATGGTCAGATTCAAAGTGAAATCACGAGGTCACGACGGAAGGGTGGTCACTCGCGTCGGCAAGTTTCACAGTCGTGAAATCCAATTTGTCAGACTTAAACCTCTGATGCTTCATTTCACGTCTAGACGCACGCTTCTAAGGTGCAGAGTTAAGCACCTCGATGCACTTGTGTGGTGCCTTCTGAAGTGGCTCTTTCCTGTAAGTTATTTTATTGATATTTCATGCGCCATGGTGCAAGAGCGTGTTGTCGACCCCGTGTCATTATTTGCCTCTAATTTTTACCCACAATGCACACTGTTACATGATGCTGCAAGTCACCCCATGGTGTGACGAAAGCACCTTCCTCTTTGATAGGTAAAATAAATGCAAGAAAAAGCGCTACTTCGTTACTTCCTCGTCAAAATCACCCCATAATTGAAGCCATTTGCTCCAAAGGAACTGAACACGATACAATGTTAGGCAGGGGGACACAAGATTTTAAACTGGTGGGCAAAAACCAAGACACCAAGGTCTCTTAATGACCTTTCGTAGTTAACGTTTTTTCAGAATTTAGCGGTGAAACTGTGGTATTTTAAAACATGCTAATTTAGAAATATCAATGCCTCCAAAAACCCACGTCACCGATTGCAAATAATGGCTGCTTTTGCAACAACAAGGACAAGCTAGAACGTTCAACAACGTATGCTAGTCTCTTAAAACCATAAATATCATGACAAAAAACAGAGTAAACTACAAACGTCAGCCAGTAAACGTATTCAAAAAAACATGGATTCTCAGAGATTGGATGTTACATAATCAGCCTCTTGAAACTTATCAGGCATAAAGCGAGGTTGCTTTGAGGCCTCTTTCGATTTTGCAGGTCACCACGAGGGGCATTTACGTTTAACGTACATGGTGTCTGTAGTAAAATCCATCCTAACCATATCAGGGCCTTGGCTGTTTGCGTGTCTGGGAAAACTGATGATTTGTAGTTGAAATCACGAGACCAGTAAAGAAACTTAGTTGTTCTCCGATCAGGGTACGTAAGTGTGGCTCAATATTCCAATACTTGGAGTCATTATATGGGCAGGAATTTTTGCAGGAATCACAAAACTGCACACACCCGACACGCAG